GGTTAGGATTGCAATTCAAAAGGCGAATAAATGTGCGGTAATTTAAAAGTGAATAGCACCGAGTTGGGGTGAACTATTTGAGCTGGCGTGAGCATGCGACGGCTCTCGGACTCGCACGGGAGGGCATCTCAGTGAGGAGAGGGCATCTCAGTGAAGAGAGGCCGCTCTGCGTGTGTGAGCCACACGCGCTCCTCGCTTCTTCAGCGAGTCTGCTGATGACGCTGCCTTCCAAGCAGTAGCAGCAGGCGGCAACCACCATGGCACTGCGAGGGCAGACCTGCAGCTCACGAAGGAGGCAGCCTCGACATGATTAATGGAAGGGCGCAGGGAAATTAACAAACAACAACAACACAGCGATATTCACACACCGCCTTCTATACACAATACGGGTGGTCTCTACTCTGTGATCTAGGTCTCACACTGCGGTGTGTACACTGTGGGTCACACCCTGCGTGTCCCACACTGCGGTGTGTACATTGTGGGTCGTACACCCTGCGTGTCCCACACTGCGGTGTGTATACTGTGGGTCACACACCCTGCGTGTCCCACACTGCGGTGTGTACACTGTGGTGTGTCTCACACTGTGGTTCATACACCATGTGTGTCCCACACTGTGGTGTGTCCCACACTCGTCCATACACCATGTGTGTATCACACTGTGGTGTGTACACTGTGGTTCATACACGATGTGTGTATCACACTGTGGTGTGTACAATGTGGGTCACACCCTGCGTGTCTCACACTGCGGTGTGTATACTGTGGGTCACACACCCTGGGTGTCCCACACTGCGGTGTGTACACTGTGGGTCACACACCCTGCGTGTTCCACACTGTGGTGTGTACACTGTGGGTCACACACCCTGCGTGTCCCACACTGTGGTGTGTACACTGTGGTGTGTCTCACACCCTGGGTGTCCCACACTGTGGTGTGTATACTGTGGTGTGTCCCACACTGTGGTTCATACACCATGTGTGTCCCACTCCATGGTGTGTCCCACACTCGTCCATACACCATGTGTGTCTCACACTGCGGTGTGTACACTGTGGGTCACACACCCTGGGTGTCCCACACTGTGGTGTGTACACTGTGGGTCACACACCCTGGGTGTCCCACACTGCGGTGTGTACACTGTGGTGTGTCCCACACTGCGGTGTGTATATTGTGGGTCACACACCCTGCGTGTCCCACACTGTGGTGTGTACACTGTGATGTGTCCCACACTGTGGTTCATACAACATGTGTGTATCACACTGTGGTGTGTACACTGTGGGTAATACACCATGTGTGTCCCACTCTATGGTGTATCCCACTCTGTGGTGCGTACCACGGTGTGTACTGTGTGCAGGTTGTTCACCTGGGAGGGTCTCCCGCTCTGTTGTATTAACGCAATCATCGCTACCAGCAAAATGGCAGCGATGACAAGCGATGGGGGTCCGCGAGGAGGCGGTGGTGGTGATAAATGCCGCGCTCCGAGTCGCCTGCTCTGTTTTCACAGCAGAAAGACCCAACACAGCTCCATTTCGGTGGGACATTTTATTCCTGCACAAAACACGTCAGGAAATTTATCATCGCAGCAGCAAGCAGCAGCAAGGTCCGCATAATATGATCAAATATTTGGCAATCGGCGTTTATAATTGGAGCTAGAATTGTCTACTGACAATGAGCAGGCCCACTCTACGTGTTAGTCAGGATTTGAATGTTTAGAGAAATGTTAAAACATGCACATTGGCATTGGGCTGATGCTGTACCACGCGGGTTGAATCAGAGGGCCCGGTCTGGTTGGTTTGAAGTGCCTGAACACGACACTTCAAACGAGGGCCCCTCAGATCTCGGTGGATTCCCCTTCCCTATTCCTCAGTTTACGACGCAGATGTTCTAAAGCTGCTAGGGCGAATAGGGAGTTATGCCAGAGGGTGAATGAGGAGGGCCCCATGATTCTTCCAGGAGCTCAGGATGGTATTTGTAACCGAAATGTTTGAAGACTGTGACATTTAAAATGGTACTCAATTTTGAGATCAGGGGATAGTTGTGGGGTCACTTACAGTGAGGGAAAAAAGTATTTGATCCCCTGCTGATTTTGTACGTTTGCCCACTGACAAAGAATTGATCAGTCTATAATTTTAATGGTAGGTTTATTTGAACAGTGAGAGACAATAACAACAAAAAAATCCAGAAAAACGCATGTCAAAAATGTTATAAATGTATTTGCATTTTAATGAGGGAAATAAGTATTTGACCCCTCTGCAAAACATGACTTAGTACTTGGTGGCAAAACTCTTGTTGGCAATCACAGAGGTCAGACGTTTCTTGTAGTTGGCCACCAGGTTTGCACACATCTGAGGAGGGATTTTGTCCCACTCCTCTTTGCAGATCTTCTCCAAGTCATTAAGTTTCGAGGCTGGCGTTTGGCAACTCGAACCTTCATCTCCCTCCATAGATTTTCTACGGGATTAAGGTCTGGACACTGGCTAGGCCACTCCAGGATCTTCATGTGCTTCTTCTTGAGCCACTCCTTTGTTGCCTTGGCCGTGTGTTTTGGGTCATTGTCATGCTGGAATACCCATCCACGACCCATTTTCAATGCCCTGGCTGAGGGAAGGAGATTCAAACCCAAGATTTGACGGTGCATGGCCCCGTCCATCGTCCCTTTGATGCGGTGAAGTTGTCCTGTCCCCTTAGCAGAAAAAACACCCCCAAAGCATAATGTTTTCACCTCCATGAATGACGGTGGGGATGGTGTTCTTGGGGTCATAGGCAGCATTCCTCCTCCTCCAAACAAGGCGAGTTGAGTTGATGCCAAAGAGCTCCATTTTGGTCTCATCTGACCACAACATTTTCACCCAGTTGTCCTCTGAATCATTCAGATGTTCATTGGCAAACTTCAGACGGGCATGTATATGGGCTTTTTTGAACAGGGGGGCCTTGCGGGTGCTGCAGGATTTCAGTCCTTCACGGCGTAGTGTGTTACCAATTGTTTTCTTGGTGACTATGGTCCCAGCTGCCTTGGGATCATTGACAAGATTCTCCCGTGTAGTTCTGGGCTGATTCCTCACCGTTATCATGATCATTGCAACTCCACGAGGTGAGATCTTGCATGGAGCCCCAGGCCGAGGGAGATTGACAGTTATTTTGTGTTTCTTCCATTTGCGTATAATCGCACCAACTATTGTCACCTTCTCACCAAGCTGCTTGGCAATGGTCTTGTAGCCCATTCCAGCCTTGTGTAGGTCTACAATCTTGTCCCTGACATCCTTGGAGAGCTCTTTGGTCTTGGCCATGGTGGAGAGTTTGGAATCTGATTGATTGCTTCTGTGGACAGGTGTCTTTTATACAGGTAACAAGCTGAGATCTGGAGCACTCCCTTTAAGAGTGTGCTCCTAATCTCAGCTCGTTACCTGTATAAAAGACACCTGGGAGCCAAAAATCTTTCTGATTGAGAGGGGGTCAAATACTTATTTCCCTCATTAAAATGCAAATCAATTTATAACATTTTTGACATGCGTTTATCCGGATTTTGTTGTTGTTATTCTGTCTCTCACTGTTCAAATAAACCTACCATTAAAATTATAGACTGATCATTTCTTTGTCAGTTGGCAAACGTACAAAATCAGCAGGGCATCAAATACTTTTTTACCTCACTGTATGGCTCAAGCAAACTTTTTCTAGGAGCGCTGTTACCTACGCCATTTTGAACCGGTCTGGGAAGCGGCCCTCACTGAATGAAATACTGATGCCAGGTGGACAATCAGCGGCACAAGAAACGTCCAATCATGATTTGAGAATCGACTTGTGGATGTAGTCAAGTGACGATATCTTATTCGGCAGCGGTGAAATGAACATGGACACCTCTACCACGGATGTTGGTGCCAGGGTCTCGAGTTTTGCATTGTTCCCACGTTGATCCAACAGGAGAATGCGTTGCCTTCATGTTAGAAACGTCTTGTTCGTCACTATTTTATTGGCGAAGAACATCGCATATACTGTGCACAGACCTCGTCGACGAGTTAATGGGTGGTTGGTGTGCAGCAGACCCTTCATAACGCGTCACAGAGCACGGAGGTCGCGAGCCGACTCATTGGTGCGCAGAGCAAAGAACGATCTGCGAGATTTTATTATTATCAGTGGGTTGGCAGATCTGCAGTTCGCTCTGTAAACGAGTCGGACAGTCTCGAAACTACGTGGTACTCTGATGAATACCTTGCAGTCTATTTTCCCCAACATAAATGTCCAATAAAAAATACTAATGATTTAATTAAACGTGTAAATGCCAATGTTCATTAAACGTAATTTAATTCGTTTAGAATAATGTCCCATGTGGGGAGGGACGTCGCCACCAGCAGAACTCGTGTGTGTGGATCGACTGCGGAATGCGTAGCTCCATCAGCACCCACAGAGCGTTCCGCACGCGGCCATTAAGGAAATGAGTTCAAGGCCGTGGTCGCAGAAAAGGAGAATGAGCGACCTCCCACAGAGCGAAGGTTGCCTGGAAGAAAAAAATTAAGTCTTGGTTGCTGGAAGAGAGAGTGTGTGGAGGGGAGTAGAGCGAGGGGAGAGGTAGCAGAGTGCATGGAGGGGAGCAGAGTGAGATGAGAGGGGAGAGGTAGGAGATGGTGTGGAGGGGAGTAGAATGAGAGGGGAGAGACAGGAGAGTGCGTGGAGGTGAGTAGAGTGAGATGAGATGATGGGAAAGGTAGGAGATGATGTGGAGGGGAGTAGAGTGAGATGAGAAGGGACAAGTAGGAGAGTGCGAGGAGGGGAGTAGAGTGAGGGGAGAGGTGTGAAAATGCGTGAAGGGGAGTAGAGTGAGATGAGAGGAGAGAGGGGGGCTGGGGTGATGATGGAAGATCTTGAAGGCAGTGAGTGGGATCTTGAAATTGTGGAGGGATTGAAGTCATGGATCACATGGTCTCACTTATGTACGTGCACTGTTGTATACACAAATTGTTTTATTTTAATTCGTTTTTTTTATCGTGAGTAAAATTTGCTTAATTTCTCTTTTTTCAGGTTTCCTTTGGGCTTTTGAAAAATGAATCCTCAGGAACTGGTGAAATATTGCTTTTTATTCCCAATTTATTTAGTGACGTTTGTCGCAGGGCTGCCCCTCAACGCCATGGCGTGCTGGGTACTGGGACGCACCAAAAAGAACTCAATGTCCATCTACGCGCTGAACCTCGCCACCGCAGACCTATTCTACTTGGCCGTTGTTCCGATGAAAATCGGCTACACCTTCAACGGAAACAACTGGATTTTCCCCGTATTTCTCTGTCGCGTAACAACCCTGATATTCTTCACGAACATTTACGCCAGCATCATGATCCTGGCGGCGATCAGCGTGGACCGCTACAAGGCCGTGGTGCACCCGCTGGAGGTGTCGCGCTGGCGGGAGCCGAGGACGGCGTGGATCGTGTGCGCCGTCATCTGGGTCATCACCGTCGCCGAGATTGCGCCCATCAACTACGTCACGTTCACCGTGATGGTCAACGCTACCAATGGCAGTGCTCCCCCCACCATCAAGTGCTACGAGAAGTTCTCAACCAGCGACATGGACTTCTTGACCATTTACAGACTCTACTTGTTTTCCTCCCTCTACCTCCCCTCGCTAGTCGCCATGCTCTTCTCGTACATCAGTGTCATCAAATCTCTGTTCAAAGTCGACGATCAGGTCGACGTGATGAAACGCGACAAGAAGATCCGCGCCATCAAGCTGACCGTCTTGATTATCAGCAACTTTTTTGTGTGTTTCACCACCTACAACGTGTCCCATATCATCGGCTTCATCGAGAGTCGATACAACAGGATGTCCTGGGAGAGCTTGGCTCTGCTGCGAGACATTGCACTCGGACTCAGCCTGCTCAACAGCCTCTTCGACCCCGTGGTTGCCTTCGTTGCATCGTCTTCATTTAGGAATTCGTGCAAAAATATCATCAAGTGTAGACTATTTAAAAACCGCATAGAAGATGCAGCAACTTGACCGAGCTCCATTGCAAACTGCACAGTTCACACAGATAACACATCTGCACTATGACCACCACACCTTAGAGCTGAACCCAAACATCCTTTTGAGTCTGGATATGTCTCTATAACCCTTAGTCGTTCGTTCCTTGTGTAGAATATACAAGGATTAGACAAGGAAGTACAGACTGAGGAATTGCAGTTGCTCCTGTATAACACCGCACATGTGGTCCCTGTAACATGTAGAGACCAAGCCCTGTTTTATTGACTGTGGTGTCAGAAAGTCGCAGGGTAAAATCAGAAAGAGCGGTGAGGTCAGGACTGACAGGAAGAGAGCAAAGAGGCAAGGATGAATATGGCAACGGCATCAATGGAAAGGGTCGTGATGAGAGCGGTCGAGTGGACTCATGCTGGGTGTGGAGAGAGGTCGTGGTGCACCGAGTGGTGTAGAGAGACGAGAAGAGTGGTTGAGAGAGGGTTATGTGAAAGAATAGGGGGCTGCAGAAAGAGTGCAGGTCACAGTGATTGGAGGGAGGGGCTCTGATGAATGTGTAGAGGTGCTAACTATTCACTGTTCGGTAATCTGCATTGCCAATAGGTATCAAAGGGGCAGTGCAGCGTTACCTCTGTGTGAATAACGGTTGGGGTCAGACGAGGTGAAGTGGATCGTAGCTACAGTTTGGTAAGAACCAATCAGACAGTTCCACATGGGAATGTGGGATTGGTTAGATCTGGCCACAAACGGGTATAAGAAGGGTGAGCGCGCAGAGTGCAGGGAGTTCTCTCCCTACACGAAGACCGAAGTCCGGGCTGAAGATAGCCAGGACCCTGGACCCAACCTTCCAGCCCTTTTGAGGGCTTAGGCTCAGCGTATCCAGTGGTCAAGACCCACCGAGCCAGCGGTGGGTCAGTTAGCCTCCCCTAGGTCCAAGTCGGAGGACTCTAGGATAGCGGTAGACTCCAGAGTAAGTCCTGCCAAGACAGGAGGCTGTGCCTCCTTAGGTTAGGAAGGGACCTGTGTGTAGGTCACGCTAAGTCCGGAGGCTGTACCTTCTTAGGGTATCGGGTGAGGGGACCGTATACCCCTTTGTGTGTTAGGGACTGTGTAAGACAAGAAAGACAATAAACAGAGTGTGCCTCATAAGAAGTTTATTCGTCATTATAAACACTACAACTGGAGTCAGAAGTGGTTGAAAAATGGAAACAAGAAGTTCAGCCCACGTGCGAGGTCAGAATGGAGAAAACCTCGACTCACCTGCGGGAACCGCCAACTCCGCTGAAAATGCCGGCGCATTGCCAGCCGCCCAACCACCGGCTCAGCAGCCGATTGCTCCTCCTGCCATGGGGGACGGACTCCGGGCAGCACACAGCCGTCTCGCCCAACTTCTACATGTGTAGTGATGGAAGCATCACTATTGTGTACACACGCACACGTGTGACGTCACTATGCGGGGGAGCGTCACGACCACGCGGGTCTTATTATCTGTATTTTTATTTAGTGTGCTGATCTTAAAGGTGCATTGAAAATTGTGATACTCCGACTGATGCCCCTGTTGTTTGTGGAGTGACTCATGCAGCCAGCTGTGGCTCTAGGGTTTGGTGTTACATGTTATGTATGTAGTTTATTGTTAAAAATTCGGTCACAGTTCCTATGATCACTGTTACATTGCATTTATGGCTTTATTTTGGTGACTTCTAAACGTTTTTTGGTTTGGCCATGTTTTTGTTTATTGTAGTACGGAGTTAGACTGATGGCCTTAATCTAAGTTTTGTTGTTGTTGTTGTTTGACTTGCATCTCACTGGGATTTTTGCACACAGCGTTGGTGTACGGTACTATTTCAGGAATATTTTGATGTTTTTTCCTGGATTTTCTGTTTGCACATGCACAAAGTCACTTTAAGATGTTTTCTTGTTCATGTTTTTGTTTGTTTGTTTGTTGCGGTTGCACCCGATTCAAGAGCCGAATGGCTCACAGGGCTATACCAAATATATGAAACTATGAAAACTAAACTATGTCTAAACACACACATGACATCATCCCGGCTGGAGGCGAGAATGACGTCAGGGTCGGTTCTGGACTCGGGAGGCCACGAGGGTGGTGTGAGGTCGTGGCACTCTCTGCGACCCCGGCTAGACACGTGACCGGACTCCAGTGGGGGCCGGGGGCCTAGGGGGCACCTCGGGGGGCACGTGAACAGCAGGGGGGCTTCGAGAGGGTTCTCGAAGGGAGGCGTGGCCGGGGCGGGGCCCGGGCATGCCGAGGCCCATATAAGCAGCCTCCTCACGAGGTTCGAGGCTGCCCGTATCAAGAGTGAAGATGCATCGTGAAGACACCAATAAGAGATCCGTGTGTAGGTCCCAGCTGGAGGACTCTAGGATAGCGGTAGACGTGTAAGTAAGTCCCGCCAAGACAGGAGGCTGTACCTCCTTAGGTTAGCAAGAGATCTGTGTGTAGGTCCCAGCAGGAGGACTCTAGGATAGCAGTAGACGTGTAAGTCCCGCCAAGACAGGAGGCTGTACCTCCCTAGAGTTTCTGAGAAGTGTGTGTTAGCTAGAGTAAGTCGGTGGTCACCACCCTATGCGTAATGTAAGAGTTAACTGTTGTGTTCATTAAATAAATAAATGTTGTCTCCCGAGCAGTTGTGTGTGCACCTAATTCGAATCCACTACACATGCTGCAGCCTCCATTCTTGACGAGATCAACTTGGAGGCTGCGGGCGTATCAGATCAGCCGCCGGCAGATGTTCCCGCCATCGGCCAAGACAGACATTTTGAATTCCCCTTCGAGGCATCACGTGGTTCCGCCGGAAGCGGAAGCCAAGGCCATTCTGGGAATGCTGGGGGCCGATCGCACCTCGCAGCGTCATTAGCGCACGACTCTGTCAACTCACGCTACTCAGCTGACGCCGCGTCATCACAGTACCGACAGAGTACAGTAGACACTATCGGCCAGGTGATCGCCGATTTCCGGCTCGAGTCTGTGCAGGCTGATGAAGAAAAGCCGTCCGCCCTTCAACAGTGCCTGCCCATCTTTCATGAATTTGCGTCTACAGGGGGCGACTGGGTGGCCGTTCCAGCATCACTTCCTGAGCCACCAAGAAATGGTGGGCTGGTCGGACGCACAGGTGCTTCGAGCGCTGCCGGCCACCCTGGACGACGACGCTCTCACCACACTCATCACCATCCCCAAGCAACAAAGGGTGACTCTACAATCGGCCCTTCGACGAATGTCCGACGTCTACGGGCCTCCGTCCGACGTCCGCAACCGGTTTTATGACAGGCGACGCCACCCTAAAGAATCTCCATTAGTGTTCCGGACCACTCTACTCGCGATGGCAAGAGCGGCTTACTCCCGCATGGACAATGAAGCCATCGATGCTCTCGTCCTCCAGAAGATGCTGGAACTGGCGCGCGAGCTGCGCATCATCATTGAAGCGGTGGACGAGGAGAACATGTGCTCGCTGTTGTATATCAGGGTATTGAAAATTTTTACGAAAATAATAAAATGTAAATTCAATTTGGAAATATGCGTAATTATGTACATAAATTATGCTAATTCGAGAAATAATCGTATTAATTATGCGAATATGTGTGATTATGCTAATGCGATCCGTTATGATAATTAGGCCCCGCCTCGCTGACGAGGGTAGTATTATCAATCGGGATCACACAGTTAATCGTATGAGGTTATGCAGGTGTGCTGTAAGTATGCCAGATTAAACTCGGCTTCATTGCCTAGGTTCGTATTATCGATCGGTATAATACAATTATTCTTGCTTTGACATTTACTGATTATGTATTAGTGTTTATGTCAGGTCTCCAAATTCAAATCTCAACGCAGGATACAGTTCTTATAATTAAGATTATTATGCATGAACTCAGGAAAGAAACACTCAAACAATTCTGTGTTAAGCAATTTTAATTTCTAAACAAAACTTTAACACTATAATATGCGAATTATTATGCTTGGAATTATCAACCTCATTGATCCATACATTTAACCCTCAATAATCACGTTGTTAATTGGGTAACAGATCAATGATTACTTCCTTAGAGTAACACGAGCATACACGGCAAATAGGAATAAAAGTATTTAAAAATTAATCCAACGATATTCATGCGAAAGGCGATAAAAGCAATTATTATACCCCAAAGGCCAAAGAATACATGAATAGATTAATCGGCAAAATTATGCAATTAAAAAGAAAAACGAACGACTAAAAAGAAAACTACTAAATGACCGTCTCCACGTAACTCAGTGGGCAGCAATGTTCTTCACGATCAGTTGATATTTAATGCACTTTTATAATGAGTCTTAATATTGTGTGGGTGCGGTGGATTGTCTCTTTGGTAAATTCTCGTGTGAGCAGACGCCGGGAGCGTCATGGGTTTGTGAGGGTGGGGGAGGGTCATACGAACAACGGCTGGTTCCCTCTATCGCTCGGCGTCGGACGTTGGCTGAAGGTTCTCTCCGCCGCTGAATGATGAGCTGTGTCGGCACGATGCCCTCTCCTTGAAGATGCGCGATCGCGCTCGTGCTCTGGCAGCTGACACCCTTTCTCACGGGCGGCTGGTGAGGCTCTTTCCCCTGCTGGATGAGCCGAGTCGGCACAACGCTTGGCCGCTGGCAGCTGGCACCCTTGTTTGGTTGCGCTGGTTGCGCGCTTTCTCCTGCTGGACGATTGCTTTCGCAGCTCGTCCGCTGCGGTTGGTCCTCTGCGATGCTCGCTTGGTCGATGCTCGGCGCTTTCCGCCCTTTCTCGAGGTGGATTGCTTGACGCCGAGAATACTTTCAGCGATACTCTGTCTGCCCATGCCGAACTCAGCACAGAGCATCACCTCGCCCCTCTTCTCTGCGATGCACCACACGCATTGTTGATCTCGACGCCATGCCCCGGGGCTGGCTTGCTGTCCTCTTCCGAGCTGATGGTCGCCGTGTTCTGCCGCTGGTCGCTGTCGAGCTGAATTGACGAGCTGATGGTTGAGCTGATGGTTGAGCTGAGCTGTGTGTGTCGTGCTGCTGTTTATATCCGGAAAATCTCCCCTCTGCGCGTCTCTTACGAGAGGAAAAAAAACAGATGCTCACTCCGTCATGGTCTTTCACACAGGACGGATCTTTCTTTGATCTCGCTCTGGTGTTGTGGGTGTGGGGGTACGTATCCGTGTGTGTGTGTCATTTATTAAGTCACTGCACATCCGTGGGCACAGATGGCCCCTGCGATAAAGAGTAATTTCCCTCGCTCTGGCGTTAAATAATTTTCTCTCCCGTGTTGCGGGAAGACAAAGGCGGCCGGGAGGCTCTCTTTCTCTCTGGGACACATTTATCTTAGTCACGTGATTGACCTATCTCGCCTCATCTCTTCCGGCTGGCTCTCGATTTAACACTGCACAAATATTATTTGTATTCTTAGTTTTTTCGGTAAAGTCACGTTGAAGAGAAACAACAAAATAACAAAATATATAAAACAATAAAAAATTCTCACGACGTTTCGACCATAACTCGGTCATCATGATGATGATGACCGTTTGAGTTATGGTCGAAACGTCGTGAGAATTTTTTATTGTTTTATATATTTTGTTATTTTGTTGTTTCTCTTCAACGTGACTTTACCGAAAAAACTAAGAATATGAATTACTGCAGTCACGAAAGCTTTAAATCA